TACATTGTGACCGAAACGTTTCCGGAAATTTTAAATAAAACGCAAAATTCTTAATCTTCATCAATATTTATTTTATCTCCTTCAAAATATGCTCCATTAGAAGCGATACACAAATGCCAACGTTTCTTCCAATCATCAAAACATTTTTTATAGGCGCTTTCCGGTATGGCTTTGAGTTCCCTCTGCGAATTCTGTTTTACGTCTTATATGGATTCAAAACGCGTTCCTCTGAGTGGTAATTTGAGTTTGGGAAACAGGAAAAAGTCACACGGTGCAAGATCAGGTGAATACGGTGGCTGTTCGATGGTATTTATTGAATTTTTGGCCTTAAAATCGTTGATAATGTTGGCTCGGTGCGAGGGAGCATTATCGTCATGAAAAATCCATGAATTATCCTTCCACAATTGAGGCCGTTTACGGCGGATAGCTCTCACGACCGATGCCTAGCTCTCGTGCTATCTCTCTAACACTCACATGAGGATTTTGGAACACGATTTCCTTTGCCTTTTCAATGTTTTCGTCGGTGGTAGAGGCCGAAGGTCGTCCAGAACGCGGCATGTCTTCGACGGTCGTACGACCGTCCTGAAAGGCTTTGTACCACTCATAAACTTGAAGTTTTCGATAAAACTTGATTCCCATAAGCCTTTTGTAGCATTCGCAACGATTCTGCACACGAAATTTCGTTCGAAACACAAAATTTGATGCAAACTCTTTGTTCAATATTTTTTTCCATTGTTTTTTCCGCAACGCACTACTGAGGTGAACTGGTTTCAACAGCTGCCGTAAACGAACTGTCTGACAGATCGCGCTCATTTTTGGCATAGTAATTAAGGACAGTGCTGCCAAACTACATAAACTTAAAATATCGAAAAATATACAGCGCGCGAATTTTAAATGAGAATTTCCGAAAACTTTTCGGTCACAATGTACATCCATTCAAATATCTAAATCGATTACGCTTAATAGACCAATTCAATCGAGGTATATAGTCAACAAGATGTGAACAGAGTACACGGTATCTTTCCGAACTGAAAACATAATTGGGACAAACGTCTCATACACGCCTGTTCCAGAATTCAAAGAGATTTCACTTCATAAAAACACAACTATATTGTAAATAGAAATTTATACAATAATTAAATATATTTATTTTCACGTGAACGCAACTATCACATCCAGAGGCAGGTATCAAGTCTGTTTTGAATCAGGAATGGAGCTTGTGGATTGTCTGAATTTTTTCCTAACAAAAAAAAAAATTTTTAACAAATAATTTCAATGAAGAAATTTCAATAACATAAGCGTATATGACTACGTGTTGAAGTACTTGAAAACATTTGACAAATATATAACTGTTGTATATATAATTAATATATATATATATATATATATATAATATATAATATATATATATAATATATATATATATTATATATTTATATATTATATATGTATATATATATTTATGGCATTATTGTAACATACAGTGTATATTATACAAAGTAAAAGAATAAAAGTTAATGCTATAGACAAATGTCTTCATTTAAACCTTAAGCGTCACTATAAGCACTACAGACAAACATCAAAAGATTATGATCCTCAGACCTATCGCTTGTATGTCCCGTTGCAACTTTCAGTAATGAAATGATAAATAAACTTGCAGAAAAGAAGCAACTATATTATTATAACTTCGAAACCACTCTGTAGCTTAAGAGTGGAGAGGTAATTTATTTTTATTCATTCATAAAAAGGCTATACTGAAACAGAAACAGAAGACACAATGCTGGAACAATTATCGTATTTAAAATCGTTTATGAAGCTCCTTAACCGATACCAATTTAAGAAGATATTAAAAAATAAAGAAACCAACTTAAGGAATAAAAATAGACAGCTATAGTTAAGAAATAATTCCAAGTATTTTGGTAAGCACTGTAGGCTGAATCTAACGAAGCAA